CGTGAATATTGTTAACCAGCATTAAGTGAATGTTGTTAAGTAGCATTGCGTGAATATTGTTAACTAGCATTAAGTGAAAGTTGTTAAGTAGCATTGCGTGAATATTGTTAACTAGCATTGCGTGAATATTGTTAACTAGCATTAAGTGAAAGTTGTTAAGTAGCATTGCGTGAATATTGTTAACTAGCATTAAGTGAAAGTTGTTAAGTAGCATTGCGTGAATATTGTTAACTAGCATTAAGTGAATATTGTTAAGTAGCATTGCGTGAATATTGTTAACTAGCATTAAGTGAATGTTGTTAAGTAGCATTGCGTGAATATTGTTAACTAGCATTAAGTGAAAGTTGTTAAGTAGCATTAAGTGAAAGTTGTTAACTAGCATTAAGTGAAAGTTGTTAAGTAGCATTGCGTGAATATTGTTAACTAGCATTAAGTGAAAGTTGTTAAGTAGCATTGCGTGAATATTGTTAACTAACATTAAGTGAAACTTGTTAAGTAGCATTGCGTGAATATTGTTAACTAGCATTAAGTGAAAGTTGTAAAGTAGCATTGCGTGAATATTGTTAACTAGCATAAGGTGAAAGTTGTTAACTAGCATTAAGTGAAGCAGCATTGCGTGAATATTGTTAACTAGCATTGAGTTAAAGTTGCAAACTAGCATTGAGTGAAAGTTGTTAACTAGCATTAAGTGAAAGTTGTTAAGTAGCATTGCGTGAATATTGTTAACTAGCATTAAGTGAATGTTGTTAAGTAGCATTGCGTGAATATTGTTAACTAGCATTAAGTGAAAGTTGTTAAGTAGCATTGCGTGAATATTGTTAACTAGCATTAAGTGAAAGTTGTTAACTAGCATTAAGTGAATGTTGTTAAGCAGCATTGCGTGAATATTGTTAACTAGCATTGAGTTAAAGTTGCAAACTAGCATTGAGTGAAAGTTGTTAACTAGCATTAAGTGAAAGTTGTTAAGTAGCATTGCGTGAATATTGTTAACTAACATTAAGTGAAAGTTGTTAACTAGCATTAAATGAAAGTTGTTAAGTAGCATTGCGTGAATATTGTTAACTGGCATTGAGTTAAAATTGCAAACTAGCACTGAGTGAAAGTTGTTATGTAGCATTGCGTTAACTAACACTGAGTGAAGTTGTTAAGTAGAATTGCGTGAATTTTGTTAACTAGCGTTGGGCAAAATTTAAGTGGCATTGCGTTAATGTTGCGAACTTGTATTGAATGAAAGTTGTTAAGTAATTTTGCGTGAATTTTGTCAACTATCATTGAGCGAGAATTGTTAACTAGCATTGTGTGAATGATTTTTAAACTAGCACTGCGTGAATATTGTTAACTAGCATTGCGTGAATGTTGCTAACTAGCATTGCTAGAACTTGGTGGTAGTAGCAAATATTCAAGTGAGTTAAACTGGCATAGATTGAATGTTGTTAACTGGCATCGATTGAATGTTGTTAACTAGCAGTGACTGAATGTTGTTAACTAGCACAAATAATAAACTTACTATCATTATTAAGGGTGAAATAACCATCCAGCATGCCTTCCACCAAACAGAATTTGGTAATATACCCGGCATCATGGAGGAGATATCGTTACCAAATTGTCGGATTCCTGGGAGAATAACATTGCGATACCATTAGAGATTGTAACGCGCATGGGCGTCAATACATTGTGAGAAAATATTTCAATATGTATAGAACACACAGGAATAGAATGCCAGCTAGCTTGCATTCCATACAAAACTACTGATCATATAGTATGTTACAAAGTACGTAATACAGTCTTAATGTTACAAAGTACGTAATACAGTCTTAATGTTACAAATGTACGTAATACAATCGTAATGTTACAAATGTACGTAATACAATCGCATTTTTACAAATGTACGTAATAAATCGAAATGTTACAAATGTACGTAATACAATCGAAATGTTACACATGTACGTAATACAATCGAAATGTTACAAATGTACGTAATACAATCGAAATGTTACACATGTACGTAATACAATCGAAATGTTACAAATGTACGTAATACAATCGAAATGTTACAAATGTACGTAATACAATCGAAATGTTACAAATGTACATAATACAATCGAAATGTTACAAATGAACGTAATACAATCGCATTTTTACAAATGAACGTAATACAATCGCATTTTTATGGATTAAAAATTGTACGTTTTCAGAGTAAAACATATGGATTACATGTGGACTGTCTTTGGTGGGATCACACAAAAGGTATCATACCATCAATTAACCTCGCAGCGTTTAAATTATATTGGGCAATGTTTTTTTTTCACGGCGTTTTATCTGAAACGCGACGAGTGAGGGCGTACTTCAATTACGTACGCTGTTAGATTCTTGTGTGAAGCTTTGTTTATTGACGAGTAGCCTGTGTGTTTTGTTGACAAACATTTTGTAGAAGTTTGAGCTAACCAACATGTGTTTTTCTGGCCAGAATTCTATTACATACATGTGGTTTCAACACATGAAAACAGTATTTTGATCTTTGTAACCTGTTTTTGAACAAATTCATCCATACGCTAACATTGTTGTCTATGGAGTTCAATTAGTTGTATGAGCCCATACGTCACGTGACTTACCGTAAATGTAACTTATTACAACACACATCATAGTAGCTATAAAGAAAAGCGAGAACCCAGCTGAATACCAATCCATTAATGTAAGTACGTAAATACCACCCTAGAAAATACAAAATCAAATATTAGGCACATTAGCTTAGAAAACAATAAAATAATTAAATTTAAACACAACATGAGATTGACCTTGAAATCCCCTGATACAAATAAGATAGACTTACCCTCGTAGTGCATGGAAGCCCCAAAAGAAAGAAAATAAAACATATTGCACCAGTGATTAGTGGTTTCTTTGATGAAATCTTGTTCGGTAGTTCATCAAATACTGCCGTTATGACGGTTTCCATCATTGCAAACTGAAAGAAGGTAAAATATCACGTGACTTTTTTGGCACACTGACGCTCGTCGTGGAAATGAACACATGACTGTGTGACGTAGATTAAACAAGTCCATTATACATATAGGATTGTAGTGGTGAATGGCAAATTATACACATCTGAAAAATTAATACTAGTATGGTCAATGTTCAATATTTCTGACAGTTTTTTTTCACTCGTAGGACGGGTGGCAACTTTGTTGATTAACTCTAAGCGTATTTTCCTGCTGCCGATTTCGTTAACTTTGGTAAAATTATTGTTGATATGTAGTCCAAAATCGTAAATTCTAAAATTTCCTTTAATATTTGGAATAGCGCTTACTACCCTATTCCACAACATAATTCCCAAATGTGATAACCCACGTGTTTGCCATTCGTCCCAAGGAATAAGATCGCCATTCTGTCTGAAAAGATCTGATACATAATTTATACCAAATGTGTGCAGTATTCTATAGAAAATAGACTTTCCTCCAACCGTAATTACCTTATTATTCCACAAGTACATACCAATACCTAAATCAGTTTGGTTATTTAATTCTGACCATGCGCTGAAACAATCTATGTAAAATAGTGGCAAATTAACATCGAGTAATTCAGTGCTGAAATTACATTTAAAAACAATACTCCCACCTACATTTTCAATTCTCTTTGTTAAAAGATCCTTCCAGACGTGGCTGACATTTTTATCTAGATAACGTATGATCCAGTTTAGTTTTTGTGTTTTATAAATTATACCAATATCTGGTGCCCCAAGACCCCCATTGTCAATGCCCGATATCATAGTTTTACGGGAAACCTTGTCTTTACCGCCCAGAGAAAACTAAACAACATTGCATTATTTTTTCTCAGTTCTTCGAGCGGAACCGTTATCAAATTTAAAATGTACTGTAATTTAGAAGTACCAATTGCTTTCATAATCTAAACTTTGCCAATAAGAATAAGGTTGCGTTGTTGCCAAATATTAAATATTTTGAGGAGATCAGATTTAGGTTTTAAGAGATTAAACTCCAACGCTTCATGTTTATTGTATGAAAAATAAATGCCAACTATTTGAATTGGAGACGTATAAGACGTTGGAGACGTTGGTTAGTTGATACAATCGTTAAACTAAAAAATAGTGTTTTGTTTGCAACAAATATATGTTAGAATGACAAGACGATGAATTATCCAGGTGTCATTCACGTTGAACAAATTTTACATAATAATATTCAAAAGCGCATGCGCATTTACGTGGTCCATGATGTAAACGGGCGTAAACAACGCTGTGAGTATAATTTATCATAAACCAATATGTGAAGAGTGTATTACACGCGAAGGATTCGTTGCATTTATCCCATATCTAAGACGCATTCTTCTGACGTGCGCGCGGGTATATAATAAACTACATCGAATGTACCGATATTTATTGTACATAGTAGACTTTTTGACAGTAAATTTCAGAAAATTTGTTAATATATTCCCACTTGTACACCAGCTGACTGTGGGCGAAAACGACGTCCTTTATCATGTACGAACCATATCTGGTACTGTTAATTCCAAACTAAATGCACGTATTGCATTAATTAATGCACATTATTGTTTAGTATATATATATTTTTAAGAAATACTGATACTTACCTGGCTGTCAAGTCCTAGTGTGAACAACATGAAAAAGAATATGAATGACCAGAAGGGCGCCCCCGGTAAACGACTGATAGCTTCAGGATAAACGACGAATGCCAACCCAGGGCCTTCGTCGACGACTTCGCTGACTGGAATGTCGCTACCATGAGCCATGAACCCCAGTGTAGAAAATATAACAAATCCAGCGTACAAACTAGTGCCACAGTTCACCAAGGATACAATGAGCGCGTCCCTGGAAATATGTTTACAATTTGTTTCAATATTGACAGATTTAATTTTTTTATCCGTTTATATCAACTACAAGTATACTATTATTTGGTTTTATGCACACCTGAACCAGGAATATGGTACTCCGCCCGAAATATACATGAGCGTATTTTATTTGTGTTTTTTCGAATTTAATATGGTTATATATAAATAAACACGGTGATCTGTCATCAGCCACAGCAGTACTCATTGGACGAAATAATGAAAATTGCAAGCGCATGCGCACTAAATTAACTGTACCAGTAATATCTTTTTCTTTATCTCATCAAACTAATAGGTTCGAAGTAAACGTTATTACCATTCGACTTGTTCATCAAAAATATCTAAAATAAAATAATTTAAATATGCCAAGAATACTAAATTTACCCTTCCTTAATCATCCTGTCTCCTTTCGCTGCAAGAATAAAACATTCACAATATCATAATAACATGCCACGAATCAACGTACCTGCACGCGTTGTTATTAAACTTATTATAACTGGAGAATGTGATAATGGCGCCGAAAGCAACCCCAAGTGAATAGAATATTTGAGTGGCTGCGTCTTTCCATACCTGTATGACAGTGGAATACGTATAGGGCGTTATGAAATAATATTCTAACAACTCAAGACGGATGTATGCGTAATGTATCTTATCTACTATCTTGTCACACGTGGTGATTTTTACAGAAATTCAGATATTCATCGCGTAAAGACAAAACAATGTTAGTGGCTAAGATTGTGTGTAACTGGTCACGATACTGGGCACTAAGACACCGGACAATTGTAGCTGACGCTCACCGTGGGCTCTAGCAGTAACTCCCATCTAGGTGTTAAATAGAACTTGATCCCATCGGCGGCTCCAGGTAACGTGACGCCACGTATCAACAATATAGTAAGAATAACGTACGGAAACGTTGCTGTAAAATATACGACCTGCATGAGAAAAAATAATCAACTGTTAGTAAGTTAATCAGTTTAGAAAGAAAATGAATCATATGCCAGTCATTCATTCATTCATTCACTGGCTAATCACAAGATCGTATTAGAGGAATTGAACTTTATAAATAAAGATGGTATCACGTTCGAAGGATTTGATGTAATGTTAAAATATACACACCTTTCCAGAGCTCTTGACTCCTTTGATGATGCATAAATAAACAATTATCCAACAAAACAACAATGACAAGGCCAGCTCCCATCGTATTTTACCAATGTTGTTCATATTATCGCTCATATCGAGTACGAATCGCCTAATTTAAAACAAAAAGACAAACAAAATTAGTGATGTTCTTGTTCAATGGCAGTTGCTATTTGTGACCTTAGCAAACTGACATCCGGGTACTTACGTATAGTATTCCTCACTCGACCAAACTGGTTTAGTCCCAGAATAGTTTGAGATGGAGCCACCGTCATAACAATTAAGAGTGTTCCACCCATGGTAACAGCCAACCCATGGGAGTTCAGAGGTCAAGGATGCAAATGCGTAGAAGACGGTGTAACATATCACTACGTTGTAATAAATAGTTACCAGTGCCGTTACAATTACCATGCCGTAACCAAGACCTGGCGTATGTAAATATAGTAACATGTAATCACGTTGTAATAAATATTTACCAGTGCCGTAGAATGAAATCAACATGGTGAACAAAATTTAAGGCGGGAGGGTCGTCACCTGCGCACGCGCGGGAATTGAGTCTCAATCGACGATATCAAGACACGCTAAAAACGCAAAGGCTCATGGGCAGACGCTTGTTTGTGAACCATGACACTCTATGGCCACCTGACGCATTCGCAGGTGACGACTCCCCCGCTTTAAAACAGAAATAAGACGTACGGGAGCATAGTCTCTTCTTCTGGGAAAGTACATTTAAGTATGACATGACAACTTCAATCGATGTTACAAAGCTTAGCCACTGCACGTGAACTTGGATTAAATAGAATATCGTTACCTTTGAAGAGTGGACATATTTTCCATACTGTCAGACACCCTAGACTGGCGAATTGACCAAATGCAAGTTCAAGATAGAATAGAGGAATACCCGCTAACACCAGCATAATAATATACGGGATCAGGAAAGCACCTGCAATAAGTCATATGCACGTAATACGGCGTTACAATAACAGTTACCTAGTTAAAGGGCACCTCCAATTAAGCCTAATCTCACAACAAATTTATTTTCTGGGTTAAAATTACAACGGATAACAAAAGATAGTTTAACATTTGTAAACAATATAAACAATAGTTTCCCATAATTCTTTGGTGCAATCCCTGTGTTTTAAAGGTCCCCCTTTAAAGGGGAACCGCTCAATCCCATGGATTGCACCAAAGAATCATGGGACACTATTGTTTATGTTATTTACAATGTTAATCTATCTTTTGTTATCCATTGTTATTCTAATCCAGAAAGTAAATTTGTTGTGAGATTAGGCTTAACTGCAAGGTGCCCCTTTAAGTAATAATATTTGTAAGTAGGATGGACGGTAGACATGACAGGCACACTCAACAGGGTCACAGATTTCGGACAGCGACACTTTAGTTAATCAATGAAACCGCTCAATACACCAAGCCAACTTATCAATATAATATACTTATCAACTATTCGCAATAATTTGTCAATCTTTTTTATTTTGCGCAATAGTTCTTGACCCTACAAATGTTTATTAAATGGAGACCGGTTGTTCTATTACAATCTCGATTGAAATGTTGAACATTGGCAAACTAGGTAACACTAATAGATGGTATATATAAAATATAGATGTAGGCGCGTACAGGGAACGACAAGTACAAATCTTTAACATGATACATACGTTAATCAATATAGTAGTATATCAATTATTGTTTTTAATGTCAATTTACAAACAAATATGTATATGATTATATTTATGAGGTACCTACCGCCACGGGTTTTGTAACACCGATTGGGAAACATTTACATTTACATGGATCCAATAGTTGATCAATTATTAAATATATATATCATATAATTAATTAAATTATTTATATAATGTATGAATAAGATAGGTTAGTGAAGTACCTACCACCACCATTTTTATAACAGAGATAGGGAAACCTCCACACATTGCCCAGACCAACAGCGAATCCAATAGTTGACAAAATGAAGTCCATTTTATGACTCCAATATCCTCGCTGACTTTCTTCTTCCGGTTTGTCAACTTCCTGTTATATAAAAAAGAATAAATATGCCACATCCAAAATATATGGAATGACGTCACTACGCGCTGGAATATATAGAGTTTACACACGTGGTGATTTTTTTTTTGCCCAAAGTGATGTCACTTTTGTAATTGTTATGTAGACTATGGAATTTTCCTGGAAGCACACGTGATATCGGTGAAATAAACAGCTATGCATATTAATTACATATTAATTGTTTTAGTTTATAATATCTGTAATTATAATTGTATAACAGATCTGTACCAACGACTGAGAGACATTGTACGTAATAACAGTCCATGTTACGTCATTCCTGGTTGGATTTGACTACGGTTTTCGTATCATCTTCCAGGTCATCTTTATAATAATGACAGTAATGATAATAGTGATATTTAAATTACCATATAGTGCTATTGTACACTAGAAAAGGCTCTAAATAAATATAATTTGAATAAGTATGCGAAAGTCGTGATTTATAACAATACCAAACTAAACTAATAATAATAAAATGATACACTATTATTCATCAGCATTTAAACCAATCAAACAAATCCACAACTGATCAATTTCAGTCAAAGATGACATGATTTTTTTAACAGTAAATCAATGTAATTCGCCGACATTGAAAACAAACCAGCCTATTTGACCAGTCACATTAAGGAATCAGCATTTGAAAACATCGGGGGAGGGGCTGGGAGGAAGAGTTTGCATTTTTTTCGCAGTGTCGTGTCTGTACATTTTTTTTAATACACCAACATTATTTCTGCAATGCATTTCGTTTTCTATCCCGGAGTCTATCTTGCAATTTTTCTTCCTCAGCGAATCTTGCAGTAACCCCCGTGATATTAAATGGCCCGCCTCCAAGCTAACTCAAACTTACACCTGAACTTGAAGGTGGTCGAAATACCACACGATACTGCACTGGAGATATTAAAGATGAAATATAAACAAAAATATGTATTTTATTTTTGTCTTGTTGTTCATTACTGATTATCGACAGATATATTTAACTCTGATAAACGCTGACATTCGTACAATGAAATAATACAAGTCTGCAAAACGCACGTGTACAAATTGGTTTAGTACCTACAATAACAATCAATACACTATTTGTGTTCGGGTTTTTTAATTTTCATTGGAAGGGTACAGAACGTTTTTTAGTTTAGGATAAATCATAATCCGATTTAGTCTACAGTATGAACTATCGAAGAACAATATTAAAAAATTATGTAATCACGTCTATATATCATTTTCAACAACACAGCACACGCATGACGTAACAGTCACAATAACACATTATTGACCCGGATGTAAACACATTCTTCACAGCATAGCGTTTTACTAATACAATCAAGGTGACCCGTAACGTACACCCAGCCTCATTCTAACTTAGGCTTTCATATGCAAATGAGCATGACATACATTCGTACATAGTTGGCCTTCTAGTCTTTACGGATTTAAACCCAGTCACAACTACTGTCATTTACATGAAATACTCACTGGTAGACCAGATCAACGACAATATATTGATCTGGATAATAAGAATATAGCCTAGTAAAATTCATTTTACTTGCCCTATCTGCAACACACACCCCTATGAACATACAGAACGTAACACCATACTAGTATCTGAGCCTTACCGCATTCTGTTCTTCTTGGCCGCGAACGTTATAGGTACGCTTCTTGTTCAAACATTTCTCAAAACAGGAACCCATTTCGCAGAGTAGCTAATATGACAAACAGGTTCTCAATTCTGCCAAGCCACTGCTCTAGGTTAACAAGGTGTGTTTACTTCGATGACAAGAGGGCATATGCAAATTGTAATTCTTTGCAGTGAAAGAAAGTACGTAAATGTAGTATGCGAAACCCTTGACCTCGCTTCGCATTGTTGTTAATGGTAAATTGTACAATTGTAGGATTGAAGCTCAAACATAAACCTGTTCTACGGACTTTGGAATTATGAGTTACTATTCGGTAAAGGAATATACCTCCAGAATAGCCAGAAAATAAGGTAGAGACAATTAAGGTACCATTCTGTACAGGTTTATACCCCGGAATGGTGGGAAAATAAGTTACTATTCTGTACAGGTTTATACCCCGGAATGGTGGGAAAATAAGTTACCATTCTGTACAGGTTTATACTTTCAGAATATAAAGGTTATATGTTTATAGTATACTCTTTCTACATATATGATTCTTTCAAGAGAAACATGTCAATGACAGTATGGATTGAAGTAGATTTTGAACAATTAATGCAATTCTGTTTGTAACTTGTTCGGGTCTAGCACGCATATGACATTACCAAATAAAGTGGCAAATGCAAATATTACATAATACCATGCGTGTGTATGATG